TCTTGAGCCCCGCCTCCAGCCCTCCGCCCGCGCGACCCCTCCCGGCCCATGTGGAGGCGGGGTTTAGCCGCCGGCCGGCGCCGACGCTGCCTCCCATTGGCCACTCAGCGCCGTCTGTCAGTCGCCTGTTAAAGGGGCCACGACCGCCCGGGAGCTGTTGGGGGGGGAGGGAGAAGGAAATTTTTTGGGGGGGAAGGTGGGATTTGGGGGGCGCTGGTGGGCACCCCTGGATCTGGCGGCTGCGGCCTTGCGGGGGAAGGCTGACCGGTGACAGGGGTAGGAGGCTATTTTAGGGGGTAGAGAGCTGTGAGACAGTGAGGGGGAGGGGGTCCCCAGCGCCCAAGCCGGAGCAAGAGACGCGGAGCCCGCGCGAGCGGCGGAGACAGGGCTCCGGAGCTACAGATCCGGGCCCCGGCCGCCGCCAGGGGCCCCGCCCGGTCCCCCCACCCCACCCCACGTCCCTCTTGCAGCCCAGCTCCGCCTGCAGCCGCCGCGGACCAGGTAGGTGAGAGCCCGGCCCGGCCTGCCTGTCAGCGCCCACCCCGGGGACCCGTCGCCGAGCTTCCCCCGCCTCCTCGAGACCCTAGATTCTCTTCCTCATTCTCGGGGACCCCGGAGCCCGGATCTCACAGCCCAACCCCAGAGAGTCAGGCGTGCCCCTCCAGGCTCTCAGAGTCCCTAGCCGAACCCTAGAATCCCAGGCGTACTGCCGCCTTGCGCCTCCTCCAGGGCCCAGGAGCCTGGATTTCAGTTCAACCCTGGGAACCTCTCTGGACCTAGATCCTCCTCCTCCTCGGCCCGGTCCCGGGAGCTCCAGACACCCGCCGCGGGCTGTGTCACATTCCCTCGGCGAGGGCCGTCCGTCGTCCGTCGCGTCCGCATAGTCCCCCATTCGCGCACCCCGTATGCCCATCTCCAGCCCTCCGGCTTGAGCAGCCAGCCGCGTCCCCTAGTCCAGGCCGGCTCCGCGGCTATGCTGGACACAGGCCGGCTCTGGAGCTGTCCATGGTCAGGGTACTCGGCAGCCTCGCCGCCCCCATCTCCTGCCGCCTGAGAGGGGGCGCCGGCGGTGCGGGGATCCCCCCTGCCGCGCCTTTGACCCGGGGATACCCGGGCCCTCCCCGACCCGGGCGCCAAGGTTTCAGGGTTCCGTTGGTCAGGCTCTCGGCCTCGTCCTCAGCATCCCGGGTTTCCGGGACCCCAGCACCTTCCTGAGGAGTTAAGGCTTCTGAACGTTCCTGCCACGTCCACCTTAGGGACCATGGCATCCGGTGATCCCGGTCCCCAGCTTTTGGCCCCTTTAGAGACCCAGTTCAACAGCCCCTATTCCCCTCAGACAAATATACCCAGCCTCCCAAGACCCCAGCCTCTACCCCCTTAGAGATTCAGGCGCCATGACTCTCTCCCTTTCAGAGACTCAGAATACAATTCTTAATGAAATTCTTTGGCATCTGCCCGCCCTCCCCCGTGGAGACCTAGATGCCTTGCCCCCAGTCCTACATCCCCTCAGGGATCCAGGCATTATGATCCCAGCTTCCATACTGACCAGTAGCCTCTGTTGCGGACATCTGCCCCAGACA